CGTGAAGAGAGACCGCAAATCTTGGTGGTCTCATCATGCATCAGGGATGGAAGTGGCTGCTGCCCTTAACAACCATCGTAAGTTATTTCGTTTGATACGGGAAACGGGCAGCAGGAGACCTGATGTTAGTGAAACAATTTGTGATGAGAGTGTACAGCCTATCCACAATTTGTCAAAACGTTTGGAGCGTTGGGCTGAGCATTTTGAAAAGCAATTTAATCGGCTAGAATTGTTCGATTCTTTGCCGGTCACTGATCGCCCTGCACCGTGGGCCGTCCCTTTGGATCCACCCTCTCGCTCAGAAGTTAAATGTGAGATCGGACTGTTGAAGTTGAACGAAGCCGCGGGACCAGATGATCTTCCTTCAGCTCTCTTCAAATTCGGAGGCTCTACTCTGCTTTACATGAATTACTAGTGAAACTGTGGGGGCAGGAGATTGTCCCAACCGACTGGAGCCGCTCCGTTATTGTTCCCATCTTCAAAGGAGGCTCGCGTTGGGAATGCGGCAACCATAGAGGAATCAGTCTGATCTCCATTGCCTCCAAGTTACTCGCCTCCATAATTCTTCACAGACTGACTGGCGCTCGTGAAAGCCAGATTCGTGAGGAGCAAGCCGGGTTTCGTTGTGGTCGTGGCTACATCGACCACATCTTCACCTTGCGTCAGTTGTTGGAGCACTGTCACACATATTGGCGGCCCATCGTAGTCGTGTTTCTCGACATCAAAGGTGCCTTCGATTCGGTTGATCGATGTGCCCTTTGGAATTGTCTACTCAGGAAAGGTGTGCCCGAGAAATATGTAAATATTATCCAAGCATTATATGCGCGTAGCACGGGCAGAGTGAGGGCTTACGGCAAGCTGTCGCCACCCTTCAATATCTCCAGCGGTGTGAGACAAGGATGCCCGCTGTCCCTTTTCCTCTTCAACTTCGCTATTGACGAAGTCGTGGAAATTGCATTTACAGGACATGACTTGGAAGGTGTGGGGCTACTTTCAGGAAAACGACTTCTTGACTTGGAGTATGCAGACGACATTGCCCTCATCTGTGACTGCTCCCAGACGTACCAAGCCACGCTGGACAGATTAGCACTGGCTGTCAGCCGCTTCGGGATTTGCTTTACACCACCGAAGTACAAAGCGTTCCTCCAAGATTGGCAGGGATCGCGTCCTGTGCTGACCGTTGGTGGGGATCAGCTAGAAGTCGTTCAGAAATTCAATTATCTGGGAAGTTGTATCAGCGCCCTTGGGATCCAAGACGAGATCAAAAACCGTATAGCGAAAGCTCGAAATGCTTTTGCTAACCTTCGCCACCTATGGCGGTGGCGCGACATCACTCTCGCCCTGAAGGGTAGAGTGTACAATGCAGCGGTACGTTCGACCTTACTGTACGGTTGCGAAACCTGGCCCCTAAGATCGGCGGATATGAAGAGGCTAGTTACGTTCGACCATCGGTGCCTTCGCAGTTTGGCTCCCATCTGTTGGGAACACCGCGTGAGTAACGAGCGTGTTCGACGCCTTGTTTACGGCACAGGAAAAGGGAATGAACCGCTCAGCACCGTTATTTCCCGCACCAGGCTCCGATGACTGGGCCAAGTGTTTGCGCATGCCAGCCCACCGACTCCCTCGTCTTGCGTTGTTTGCTCCTCGGGTATGTGGGTGGATGAAGAGGAGAGGTGGCCAAGCGATGACTTAGTCCAGAGGAATGTAGTCCCTCACTTCGGAACTGGCCTAGGTTGGAGCGTCACGCCTCCCTGGTTGGGGTCCAAAAGACGGTGAACACGTTTGGCTGTATACACTTGTTGACATGGCAAGGAGCCGACCTCAGTGGCGTTCCTGCTGTGTGTTTCTTCGTCCCTCCCCCTCCATCTACGATCTCATTTGGTAGGGTAAAACATAATACATTTTTTTTGCCTAGCAGGTGGCTGGTAGCTTACCGGAACGATGCCAGCTTGTAGCTCAGCTGACATGCAACTGTCGTATTTTATTTTTCCTTTATGTGTTGTATGTATGCATGTATTTCCTTTATGTATTGCGGTACAATAGCGGAGGTGTTTTACCACCTCTAGATGACATGTATATGATGATGATGATGATTCATTCGATCCGCAGACTTCAAACCACAGTATAAAAGTAAGTCTAGGTCTTGCACGAAAGGAGCGGAATACAACGGTTGGTCAGCCATGGTGCACATTCGCGCATCGTTGCCTTTTTCCGTGCCCATGAATAACGACTTAGTCTGGTTGACCAAAAGACAGGCCCCTGCAGACCCCATGGAAGGGCGGTAGATGTCTTGCTGAAGTACATTGGAGCCGTCGGGCGGCAGCAATTACTCCACGATTTATTCAGATGAATAAATAAACTTTATTCTCGATAACACAAGGCACACCTTTATAGGCATGATCTTATAACAAAGTGTGGTTAGAAATGTACAAAAATACATGTTTTATATAACAATGAATGTATGCGGATGGGTGTATGTTTAGGTACTTGTTATGTACGTAACAGTGTAGCTTGTGCTCGTCTGGAAACAAGACACGCGGCGATCTTTGAAGCTGAAGTAACCTGTTAGTGTAGATCAGAACAAGTTATGCCTCAACACTTTGGCTTGGAGTACTTTTCTAGTAGATGTCACTGGGATAGTTGGTCATCTACTGTACCCTCCATTTTCCTCCAATAAGGGAATGGTTGGTCTGTTGGTGCAGTAAGCCACCATCACTTCATATCCTTAATCTGTGCAGGATCGCCACATGGTTCACCCTGTCAAAAGCTTTATTGAGATCAACATTAATCACATCGATTGACTTTCTTTGATTCCGCGCTTGTAACTATTCATGCCTTTTTCGTGATTTACGATCCGGCCTTCATGAGGTCCTCCTGTACGGTCGTCAGGAAATCCTTCGATTCTAAAAGCTGCAACATATCCTCACAATCTCCTCAAGTGTCTTAGCCAAAATAGCGGTTAGACAAATCGGTCGATAGTTGTCCACTTTGCTTAGGTCACCGTCTTTCGGAATCGGCTTTATCATCGGACTTTTCAAGTCGCACGGTATTGAACCTTTTCGAATTAACCTTTTGAACAGCCGAGTCACGGAAGGCATGTTGATGGCCACTAAGCACTGCATAATCGACAGGTGGAGCTCGTTTGGACCGGGAGTCTTTACACGGCACTCCAGCATGTCGAGTTCGGTAGGGGCTGCACACGTCGAACTCGGTACAGACACCGGTTTGTTTGCACCGTCAGTACGGGTGCAATCTCAGTACTGGAAGTTAGGGACTGTCCATCCGAGACCCCAAACACTAGTGCGTCACTTGCAAGCCTCAGGCGCTGCTTCACGTAAGCAAAGATATCCTTGGTGTAGGCCTTCTCTGTGGTTGTGATTTTCCGTTCCATTATTATGTATTATATATAATATATAATAATGAAACGTTTTCGTGTTTTCCGGCTGTTCCACTTATTCCAGTGCGCGGCCTCAACTACTTACTTTGCACAACCATATGTGTGAGTTTTACAAAAATCCCGTGTGCACTTGGGTTTACCTCAAAGAAGTTTAGGGCGCTGTTTGCCGGACATGTAAGTTCACACGGTCGTGGGTGTTTGCGTCAAACTCGATATAAGCTAGGGTGTGCATGTGCGTTTTGCGGGGACATACCCATAACTTACTGGTTGGCTTGGAGCAGTCATTTGCAAACACGGGAACAACTCTTGTGCTCTATCACCGCTCGAGTCAACCCGTGGTTCTCCGACTGCACTGCTCGAGTTAAACCCATGGCCCGCCTATATCCTTTTTTAATCAAGCGAAGAAGAAGACGGTTGCTGCGTATTAGCACCATTTTGTATTCTCTTCTCTGCTTACACAGGCTGGTTTGAGTCCCATGGGTGTCCGAAATGATTACCGATGAAAGATTTCTCGGCCACCCATCCTGACCTCCAACCCATTTCCTCGGCACTTCCCTATAGACATTCTTTTTTTCAGTTTCGCTTTTTAACGCACATTTCACTACACCAAGTAATTGTCACGAGTTACCCTATCAACATGACCTCGTGCGTCAACTGAGAAGCAGCAGAACGTACTTTCCAACCGAATCAACTACTTAATGTTCTGTCGGGGAACCGGTTGGCTCACAAGGTAGGTATGCATTAAAACATCCTTAAATTGACAAGTCACAAGAACTGTACCAAGGTGGTGGTCAACATACAGAAGTCTAGATCCATAAGCTGTACATGGTAAGCGTTTGAGCAATGAAAAATCATCTTTAATGTATTTATAACCAGCATCGGTTGAGTTCGATCCCCAGTAGGGGACCGAGGGAATGCGCACTACTGACGAACCCAAATAAGGCCAAACGCCTCTGGTGTTTTTGCGGATTGTGGTTGAGCTATGTGGCTTGTGATTTCTGGGACGAATACATTAAAAATTACAACTAACATCTCCTCCTAAGTAATAAAAATAAAACTATCAATTTGGATAGTTAGTCAAGATATAGAGGTGATCCACTTCGGAGGCTTTACGGTGCGTACTAAAGGATGTTTATGGGATCCAGTTCTTACTGAAAGTCTTGCCTTTTTCGGGTGATTTATCTAGTGCATGTAACCGGTCTTAAAAACGTCGACAGTGGTTTGAGGACGACTGATCTTCGCTTGACTTATCAACCTGCCTGTTGACACCGAATGGATGGGTTTTGTCGCACCTGGGTTCTGACTGTTACCCGTACGTAAATGCGAGAGAGGCCAATTTTCGTTTCGACCATCACTACTACGTGTTGATGATACCGTTTTTCATTTGTTCATGACATTTTGATTGTCATTTATAACGTTCGCTATTTGATCGGAAACGTTAGTTTAGACCCCTGTCCTGCACCATACGTCACGCTGTGTAGTTTCGTCCAGTCAATTTTTCGGCCGCTATCTTTTTATTGGCAATCTTGACCAGTAATCGTCCTTGCTCGATGCTTTCCTCGCTATCCTCGCAACATCTGGTGATATATCTCGTTGCTTGCAGATCAAGCTTCAGCAAGAGTTGCACGATGCTGTTGCTGCTTGTCCATATTCCTTGTTTGTCTTCGACGAAATGCACAATATGCCTAGCGGCGTTCTCGATGTTCTCGCCCCGTTTTTGGACTTCCGGGAATCGGTTGACGGAGTGGATTACCGAAGGGCCATTTTTTTGTTTCTGAGGTTAGTCTCACATTTTTAACGTTTGTGTCCGTGTTGGTGGTTAATTGCGTCGTGTCATTATTAGTCATACGCCTTGACCATGATTGTATGTTGCTACATGGTTTAGGCCTATCCACTAATCTGCCCATATAACCAATATAAGGTACACCTGTCGATCGGAACAATAACACTCCACTGGAAAATGCATAAGATAGCGTATTCAGGATAGGTGACTCGGTTTAGGTACAGACATATTGACTCTGCTTGCGATCAACCGCTAACCACCCATCCAAACAGTGGCAGGCAGCAGGACACTTACTTGCAAGGGGGGAAAAGACAAACTTAGCGGTGCTTGCATACAACAGCCATCATTACACTACCCTTGTTCGCAGCCGTCACACTATATCGCTTTCTTTTGTTATCTCTAAGGTCCTCAGACAACCGCTAGCATCCAGATTTTTACATAATCACTTCAGTCGTGCTTTTGACTTATAGAAATAAATAAGTGGGTTGTAATGCTGTTGCTTGCTTATAATTTCCCACCGCGACCAGTCTAGTCCTAGTAGCGATAATTTGCGTACGTCAGCGACTCGACGGGTTCTGACGAGCAGTGCTCTTCTATTGTCCCGACGCCACAGTCTCTGGACTGGTCGATTGTCCGCATAGAAACACATCAGCAGTATCCCGGTATGCCGTACCGACGCTTCACTGCCACGCATGCACTACTAGTCGCGTATGGACGAAGGATACTGCGAAGGTCGCCCCATCCCCTACGCAGACTCAGTCCGGTGATATCCTGACTACAAGTCAGACGTCTTTTCCTTTCGATCAGACCTGTAAACAACCAGAGGCGACAACCGTTTACGGGTTGCGTTAACTTGCTTAATCTAGAGTTCCAGCGACATTACTCATCTGCGATTGCTGAACAGTGCAATACACGCTGATTGGTTTGCTATCACTTGATCTAAGCCTAGCAGCGCAAAAACACTTGTAGTTGAACTTGGCTGGGACCCCCGGATTTGTCTGTCACGGACACTTCATAAATTTACAGGCCGCCTGCACCTACAACAGGACCACTAGTGGCTGGTGTTCCACCACTCACAGCTTCCTCCCCACACACCATATCCAGTGTTAACCTGAACGGATAAGACTTACATGCGGATGATGGAAGATACAGTTTGTCCTGAGCCAACCCATACTCCTTCAACGCGACAGTCGATCGGTCGCGGCAAGGTGTGCACCCTTGCACTGTAACTTTGATGTCACCGATTCGAATCCGCTTAGGTCCGGGCGACCTCGCGGTTTACTCAGCCCTCGCACAACTGGTGGTGGTCGTGTGGCAGCGAAGCGTCGGTACGGTGTGCGGGCGTACTGTTGGTGCCTTTCTCCGTTTTTTTGCATATGGCGATGGTTGGGGATTTACGCGTTCCATTATTGAACCACTCTGTCACAGAGCTTGTGCACCACTTCTTCCTTGATAATTAGCAGTCTTGTGAAACATATATTCTAGGTTGCGATATCAGACTAGTAGGACCTCCTTCAGCACGCATCAAGCGCAATCAGGCCAACCATATCTGTTAGGAATAAGCACCAAACATGCACAACGTATTTAGCGTACTGGCTTGCCCTAGTTTCAGCCACTATACAGTATATGCGCCATTTTTGCCACAGTGTCAACCTATTTGGTGTATGATGTTGGAAGCAGCGTCTTTTACCTGCACTGACATCTACCCATTTATCCCACTCGTGCCCGGGTCGGGTCATAACGGCTCTACCTTTTGCCCACCCATGGCCTGAAACATCACAAGCCTGCCTTGTAGTCCGTGGGCGCGGGTTCTGTCCCGCGTAGGAACCGGGCGATCCTCGCAATCTTTTTAGTCCACGTGCGACAAGTGGTGGTTTCTCGGCAGCAAAGGTTCGATACTGCGTACTGGCGTACTGCTGATACCTTTTCTTCTACATTCGTTCCTGGCGACCGAATAGCGGGACTGCTCTGCTAAAACGCACCGCATCACGCACTATGACACCTTGTTGATGTTGAACAGAAGCTTGTGTTCATCTGAATCTGTTCACAATGCGCCGTTTTATCTCGCGTGCCTTGACGTAGCATTCTCACTGTAGTCACACCATCGTCAATTATCCAACACCATTTCTTACCAACATTTGAAACCACGATTATTGGTTTGTAATGAGGTCGCCGTGCTCGTCTCTTGACAGCGCAGATTCAATCTGTAGCATACACAGCATGTGTTACGGTTTTCTGGTCGTATTCATTCGACGGGCATAATCGATATGTCAAAGGTTGCAATAACACACAGTCCATTCCATGCATACCATTTTCGCAGAGCACGTCATTGTCAGGTTCTCTGTTCGTCGCAGGCATTTTCGATTCAATCAGTCTATCCAGTAATATGCTTTCTACATGAGGTCCAGATTTTGCTTGCATTGGGAAAAACAGACCGTACCATGTATTTGTAAACCACCAGTTTGGTCTTAGCAATCAAAGGATGATTATTATACACTCCATTTCCTAGTTTGACGGGAGCAGCACTCGCTTTTGGGTACACGGGAGCGGAACTAACGGTCCAAATGTAAGTCTTGGTAGCCCGATGCCCATGTGGTAGCAATTTGACTCATCATCATCATTTCGCGTTATCTGCAGATGTGGAACACACCTCGCCTATTGTGCCACAATAGAAAAAGGTGGGATAAATAACCCTGCAGAATACAAAAAACTGGTCAGCAACTGATCTAATGCTAAGCATCACATTACACGTGCGTTACCAGATCATCGTTGTACGGGGAAGATAAGCAGGATGCGGAAGAACAAAGAAACTCACAACACAACCGCCACTGAAGTCGGCTGTTTATCATGTCAGCTAGTGTATCCAACTAAATGTGTTAATCGTCCTTCGGACAACAGCACGGCAGTTGTAAGACACCAACCGACACCAAAGCTGAAGTGAGGGGTTTCGTACCTCTTGCTAAAGTTCTCGCGTGGGCTCTTTTCTTCCATTCAAACCCCCGGCGACCAAACAACGCACATCGCGTGAGTCGGGATGCTGGCATGCGCAACACGTGGTCCAGCTATCGGAGCCTGGTATGTGCTATAACGGTGCCGAGCGGTTCACTCGCTCTTCCTACACCGAATACGCGATACCGAACACGTTCATTACTCACGCGGTGCTACCACCAGACATGAGCCAAGCTGCGAAGGCCTCATTGATCGAAGGTAATTATCTTCTTTACATCTGTCGATCTGATATACAAGGTTTCGTGACCCTACTGGAGAGTTGAACGCACGGCTGCATTGTAAACTCTGCCTTTCAGTGCGAGAGGGATGTCGCGCCGGCACCACAAGTGGCAGAGATTGGCAAAAGCGCCACGTGCTTTTGCTATACGGTTCATGACTTTATCTACTGTTCCACAAACTCTAATACAGCTGCTGAGATACTTGAATACTGGAATACTGCATGTAAGCAGCAAGATGAGATGTCTCAGTACAGCTGCATCTAAAATCCTACATATACAATTATCTGTTATGTTGGAGAGCATTCGCGATATTACAAGTGTTTGGCCGAGAATATATTGAATTCGGACACCGACTTTGTCTCGACTACTTGCAACAGCTACGTGGCAGCTTGCTACCCTCCGTTGCTACTCTCCGTTCGGAGCGGAGTTGGTAGGCGACCGGCTTCAAATCCGATACTACAAGCTTGTACCGATGTCCTCGGGTGCTGCGTGTTGTGCGCAAATGCAGCAGCCGCATGACCATGGGTTAATCACCGAGATGTAATATCCGGTGCGTCACGATGAGATCAACTCGAAATCGACGATATATCAGTGTGTAAAGTCCAAGTGTTTTGCACCAATCTTTGTAGGGCACACTTCGTAAAGTAAAGATGAGCCTGGTGACCATATGCTGTTACCCGCTCAACCTTTTGTACTTCGCTCCGGGTGATAAGCCAGTATGCTGTTGAGCCGTATTCTAGCATTAGCCGTACGATTGAGGCGTAGTGGCAAGTAGCAATCCTTTCAAACCAATTGTAGAAACTGCAAAATTTGTTCAGCATGAATTTCTGGAAAGCTTCTAATTGATCACCACTACGTTTGGGGACAGAGCTAGGTCTCTGCCAATCTTTGAGAAGGACTTTGCATCTCGAGGGTGCAATGCATAGCCCCAAACGATTGATAGCCAGTGCTAAGTTGTCTTGTGCTGTTCGGCACGTTTGGGAGCTGTCATAAGTTAGGACATGTCGTGGGCATACTCCAAGTAGTCCACCCCCTGGGAGTAATTCCATATCTTGTGGGTCGGATCCAGCGAACGCAGTTTCTGTCCCTTCGTCGATGGCGAATTTAAGATGGAAAGGTTACAGCGGGCAACCTTGTCTCACATCGCTGGAGATATTGTTTGGCGACCACACTTTGCCCTCACTCTGTTCTAGCTACGCGCTCACGGCGCTCTTATGACACGTATTTATCAGGTGCACAAATCCACCTTTGATGTCGAGGAACACGACTACTGTGGATCGCCAGTAAAGACAGTGGTGTTCCAACAATTGAAGTAAAATGAACATGTAGTCAATATTATTTCGATTTCGACGAAACCCGGCTTGCTCCTCGCGAGTCTGGGCATCATGGGTGGCGCTTAGTCTGTGGAGGACAACAGGGGAAAATAAGCTCAGACTGATCTCTCTATGACTGCCGCATGCCGAACTTGGGCCCTCTTTGAAAATTGAGACTATAACCGAGCGGCTGCCGTCTGTTTGGACAGACTGTTGCTCCCACTGTTTCTTTGATAAGTTGTGCAAATAAGTTAGTGGTTCTGTTATACTACTTCAACAATTCAGATATGTTGATAACAAATCGAATCCAACCCTGGTGGTGCGTTCGAACTTGTCTGCCGTTAACACGTTTACCGTCATTACTTGCAGCTCAGCATTCAGAGATCCAGTGGTTGACAAAACTACTGGTGACGCCACGGACCAGGGTAACAGTTGTACATGGCGCCGCGGATGTAT